AAAGAAACTGGTTTATTTTATTAAGGAGAAAACTTGTTCCTTGTCAACTGTTGTATAATTGCTCTTCATGTTGTTGCTTGTTTTGCTGAACAGACTGTGGTTTCTGGAAATCTCTAGGCAGGCTTTTTTCAAATTCATGTCTCTACCCAGCTGAGACAGGTGGTATGTAGGAAGAGACTTCTGTGGTTTGAGATGGAGACATCATTGTGTTTCAAACTTGGCTTTGTCTCATTTGAGACCAAGTCAGGTTGAGGGGAATTTCTGCCAGTACAGGGCAGTTTTATATGATGTACTGGAAGGGAACTGCAAAAGAGGCAAATGTCCCAAAAAGTGGGGATACTGTTAAAAGAGACACTGTACCTCCTGTGTCTGCTTTTACAGAAGATGCAAATTCCAAACAAATACAACTCTTGTCTCATAATGCATTGTGCTTTTCTCTTTATATACTTGCTATGCTGAAGCTCTCTGCTGACCCGAGAAAAAGGCTCTGTTACCAAAAGAATGGGCAGATATGGTTGGCTGCTGACCAGGAATGGGGCTTGTATGTTTTTTTGTATCATATATCTTTTGTATGCATCTTCTAATATTAAAAAGTAGTTCTAATAACACTAATGGTAATCTGGAGGGAAATTTCAGTAAACAAATAAATACATCCCATTATTATGCTTATGCAGGGAATGGTGAAAGTCTTTGAGAGTATGATGGGACAACAAAGACCCGCTAAATCAGGGATGTGCAACATATGGCCTTTGGTCCAGTTTTGAGCCCTCTGTACATGGTAAGCTCAGTCTTCTGCCAGAGAAAAAGACTTGCAGTTGACATTGGTCTCTCCTAGTGCCCTTGAGAGATTAACTCTAAGGGAAATAGGCCCGCAGCATGGGGAAAAAACTATCTTTTAATAGCCAACAGCTGTAATAGATATAGCTGGGTTCATTTCAGTAGGACACAGAGCAGTGATCCTTCTTCAGCCCAGTTCCTAGATTTTTTTTTCACTGTATGTGTCTCCCTGCCTCATCCCTGGTGACAGAACTGATATTTTTCGTGTTCACTGAAGAGAACATGCCTCTGTGGTTGTACCTGCTAAAAATGAAAGGACTATTTTGAATTTCTCAAACTGAGAACACAATAAAGCCAACATATATTGCATACTAGTTTTAAATATCTGCCTCCTCTTCCCCCAAAAAAAGTCTATGCAGCTGGGAAATTTGTTCCATTGAGACAGAAGAGGCCAACACAGTCCTATTCACATCTCCTATGAATTCTACATAAATATGAACAGATTTTCTTATTAAGGTAGTGGCCCCTCAAAGAACCAGGACCCTTTCACACTACACAGTTATAGCACAATGATTCCACTTGAACTGCCATGGCTGCTTCCTATGGGATCCTGGGGTTTGCAGCTTAGGGAGACACCAGAGATGCTCCCCAGCTAAGGATCCTAAATGTATCCCCTCAACAGCAGATCCCAGGCTTTTTCATAGGTTGGAACCATAGCAGTTAAAGCAGTGTTGTAACTGTGTAGTGTAAAGAGGCCTGCTCCATGGTGTAACTGTAGAGTGCCTGACTGGGCTTTAAGAAAAGCAGGGTCAAGTTCCTACTGAACGATGAAATTTACTAGATGACCTTGGGCCAGCAACTCACTCTTTCAACCTCACCTACCTCAATGGGATGTAGCTTGGAGAACAAAAGTGAAAAATAGAGAGTTATATTTGTCACCTTGACCACACTGAGAAAAAGATGGGATAAAAGCATAATCAATTAAATAAGGGAGATTGGAAACTCTCTGGAAGTGTGATTATGAATGAAAAGGTAGATGGTAAACAAGTTCGATAAGTTTTATGTTCATGTAAGATAGGGCCAAAATAATACAGTCAGCCCTCCCTATCCATGGATTTTTTTATCCCTGGATTCAAGCATCCACAGTTTGAAAATATTTTAAAACTATATAAATTTCAAAAAACAAAACTTGATTTTGCTGTTATATAAGGAACACCATCTTTCTATGCCATTATATATAATGGGACATGAGTATCCACAGATTTTGGTATCCATGGTGAAACCAAACACCAGCAGATATGAAGGGCCCATTGTAATTTAGTTCACAAAATTCAGGAAGTGGAGGAATTCCACAAACATACAAGGGGCAAGTGAACCTAAACTTTGCTTTGTAATGTTGAACAATTTGTCATGGGCTCCAAGACTGGAGGTGTATGTAAACTGTCACTTAGGATAATACTACATATGTGATGCTCTTCTGTTAATACAATCCTGTTAGTGGCTCATCCATCCACTAAAGTCCTTTGAACACCCCAAAATCTATTACTGAAGATCAGTGAAGCTTTTGGAGTGGTGTGTGATGGGACATACGAGTCTGCAGGGGGATTGAGAAATCAGACCTTTGGACTGCTTGATCATTCTCTGGCTGGACCTTTGGATTGGTAATATGCACCTTTGCTTTCTTGCTTTGCATTAGCAAAAGACTTTTTTTATCTTCAACCCTCATAAGAAGCTGTTATCAACACTCTTGGCGGCTTTCCTGGACATACACATCTGGCCCTGCTACTGCTGCTGCCCAGTAGTTGTTTGGTCCATTTAGTCTGGCTCCTCAGCAAAAGCCTGTCTGACATGGAAGACCCTACCAGCAGCATTACTGCTGTTAGCATAGCCTCTTGCCTCACAGGGACATGCAATCCCACCACCACAGAAGGGTAGTGCCATTGGTGGCAATTAACATAATACTGTTAATTCAATCCTGTAAATTGAGACAACTGTTTTACTATTTGTGAAAGCTCTGAATCATGCCTTGATTCCAGTAGCTGATGAAAGGGTTTCCCTCCATCCCAGCTGCCATTCCTTTGGCCTCTGAGGGAGAGAACAGTAGGAATGTAATTCTTCACTAATTTTCTTCTTGAAGTAATTTTCTTGAAGCAACAAGTGATTTCAGCAATTTTCTTTGAAAGCCAAGCAGTTTTTGAAGGCTGTTGGCAAATCGGGATTTATTCTGCACCAAATTCGACCATAGTTGTTTTGCACAGAAAATAGCATTTTCTGCATGGAAAATACTTCAGTGCAGAAATATTAATTCTTGTACAGAAAATGTTGTTTTTGGCACAAAAAATGCTGCTTTCTATGCAAATCAACCATGTGAAATTTTTACACAGAACAAATTCCCAATTACAGTTTTCTTTCTATAGAACACAACATTTTCTGTGCAGGAATTAATATTTATGCATTGAAAGATAATTTTCCTTGCAAAAAATGCTGTTTCCAGCACAAAACAACAACATGAGAATTTTGCGCAGAATAAACTGCAAACTGTAAAGATTCTCATCAGTCCAGGATTCTTCTCATCAAGTTTTCTCAACATTCAAAAATATGTTTTTCAGACATTTTCTCAATATTTCCGAATAGTATTTCCATCCCTAGAGAAGAGCAGCCAGGCATAGCACCTTCATGCCTTGAGTCCTGTGGCTGAAGGAAGGCCCTCCCTCCAGACCAACTCCCATTGCTCTGGCCTCTGCTGGACTTAATGCCCTCCACCACTGCCATCCCCTATTACTTGTGTTTCATTTCTTTTTAGATTGTAAGCCCAAGGGCAGGGAATTATCAAATTAACCATTTGTAAGCCTCTTGGGGGGGGTCCTTTTGGCTGAAGGGTGGGGGCATAAATACTTTAAATTTAAAAAATAGATTTAAAAATATAAGTGATACATTGAAGTCCCCTATGCTTTGCTAACTATGTAGGAAGTTATCCACAGAAAATGCTTGCATTTGTCAAAGAGATTCAGGAAAACCATATGATAATCTATAGACTTTTCTTTGCCAAATGCATCCCACCCTGATATGATCATTCAAAGTAACTGGTAAAATATAGCACCCGCAGTTGGAGGATCAGAGCTTTAATCTGAACATTACACGCTAAGGGCTGAGTCACGGAAGAAACACAAATCTTTTATCAAGGCCATGCACAGCTTATAACAAGATGAACACATTGCCCTATCTGTTGGGAAGCAACCTGAAAATGACACCCATTTTTTAAAATGCATGCTTGTAAGCCCAAGACCTGGGAGGGAAAACCCAGAGCTACCTGTTTGCAATGAACAGTGCAAACAAGCAATTAAGACTAGTGGTAGAGATTACCAAAATGGGATACACGTGAACATGTGTTTGTTGGAATGGGAACACTTCTATGCACATGACCCACCCATTCAAAGCACTGGGGCTTTGCATCCTCAGGATGGCATCGTATCTTCATGATACATGCAAACACAGCCTTTTTCTGGGCATGAAGCTCCATAATGACATACATGTGTGTTCTTCCTTTGAGTCTGTCAGTATTCACATTGGTTGCTATGGCAGATCTCTATGACAGTGAACTCACTTCCACTGAAAATGCAAGCGTTCTCAGAGCTGCTTAATGTACATAGGCAGACATTTACTTTTCTAGTTCTAGGAATGCTGTATGCGCAAGAGCCCCAAGAAAGTACATAAAGAATTCCTTATTTTGTGACTGAGAAGGTGTGGGAAAACAAGTAAGACCATCCTCTTACCTTGCTCTTCCAGTTCTGAATGAATGGTGTCAGATTATTAACTGGGGAGGACTCAAAAGGGAATGGAAAGATTACATCATGGTGATGACAGTGATAGTACCTAATGTTTTAGGATGCTAGCTGGTATTTCTTATCCCAAAGAAGTCTATGGTAGGAAAATTCAGCCTCTTTGTCTAAGAGATGTATTAAATAAGCCTACATCAGACTTAATTTAACTTGCATTTAACCAATTCATTTTACGTACCTCATCTGAAAAATATTAAGTCACCCCCTCTAGAAAATGGAGTAGGAACATATGAAAATAAAAATTTTCATTAGGAAATACTACATAAACTCATATAAAAGCACTAAACTGGAGTGCAGTAATAGTGAGAGTTGTAATGAGGTAGGATTTTCTGTTTTACTTTCTTTACTGGCCTACAAACTATTGTATAATAACAACTTTAGAGAGCCACTGTGGTGTAGTGGTTTGAGCACTAAACTATGACTCTGGTGACCAGAGTTTGAATCCCTGCTCAGCCATGGAAATTCACTAGATGCCCTTGGGCAAGTCACACTGTCTCAGAGGTAAAGGCAAACTCCTTCAGTACAAATACTGCCAAGAAAACCCCATGATAGCTTCATCTTGGGGTTGCTATAAGTCAAAAATGACTTTAAGGTACACAACAATAATAATAATCTTGCTTGTGGTGTGATAACTTGCATTCTCTATCTCCTAATTTCCACTAATTTAAAAGAATTCCAAACAGCACCACCATCACATAGATTAGCACTGAATGAAATCTGAAAATATTATCTGGTTTGGTTAAATTAGTTATTAGGAGTAAACAAGATGTGATAAAACAGCTATATTTGTTGTTCACATCTGTCTCATTCACTGAACCTCATTCAAAATATAATGAAATGATACGGCTGCACATCCAAATATGACAATATAGGAAAGAAAGGTGTATGCATTTAGACATGCTCAAGACTTTTTCACAATTTAATAGCTGTGGTTTGGTGGTGGAGAATTAAAAGATTTGTTTGTTTGTTGTTAACTGTACCCAGACAGTAAAAATAGGGGTAAACTCTTATTGTAGCACTCTTGACTTTCAGAAACAAAATGTAGACATGGGACTCCAATTACTCAGGAGAACCGTGATTCCCAGAAACATTGCAGGATTTTTTTTCTCATCTCCCACTTTGATCAGTAAGAACAGACATTCAAAAGGTAGGTGCACCCATAGAAATGTATGCCCTCTCCATGTCTGATTATTCTTCAGACATACTGTGAAGTTGAAGGCTTTCATGGCTGGCATCCATAGTTTTTTGTAGGTTTTTTTGGCTGTGTGGCCATGTTCTAGAAGAGTCATCTGGGGGAGAGATGCAGGCCCATCTCCATCGGGCCTAGCCTAAGAAGAGGAGCCCTCCCTCCACTCCATCCGACATCATCTGGGGGAGAGATGCAGGCCCATCTCCATCGGGCCTAGCCTAAGTGGGAGTGAAAATATTTTATGTTACATGCTAATGTTTATGTTGTAAACCGCCCGGATTGGACTACCAATGGGTGGTATAAAAATACAATTTTTTATTATTATTATTATTATTATTATTATTATTATTATTATTATTATTATTATTATTCTTTCTAACGTTTCGCCAGCATCTGTACCAGCCACAGATGCTGGTGAAATGTCAGAAAGAAACTCTTCTAGAACATGGTGACACTGCCCCAAAAAAACACAAAAAACTTCAGACACACCCTTTCTGGTCACAGAATGAACTCTTCTTTCCTGCCAAGAGGGCAGAAGGACAATTACAGGGGGGCAAATGAGATAGTAGCAGTCCTTTATTCTATGCTTCAGTGCATTGCAGAGCAAGCCAAGCCACCAATTAAGAAACTGAATGCCATCTGTGTCCCTGAGCTGCTGCAGTTGAATGCATGCAACACAGCATTGGAGATGCATCACTTTGGCACTAGAAAATGCCTGATCTATCACAGTTATGATCATGTTGCATCACGAGGGCAATGCTGCAATGTCCACAGAGCTTGCACTGAAGCTGTATGTGCTAAAGGTAGAAGATTGGGATGATGCTCATTTTAGGAGCACCTTCAGCATATCCAGGACCATCTTCAATCAGATGTACACCAAGTTGCATCTAGCAGTTCAAACACAGGGGACTGTGATGGACTGCACCAGTGAAGAAAGGATAAGCATTACACTTCACAAGCTTGACTTCAACCTGGGATACCTCTTCCTCAGTTCAACATTTGGTACAGACAAACCCCCTCATTTCTAATTTTTTCTGTGAGATTATATATCTTGAAGAAACTGTCCCTTTCTGATGTAATCAATATGGGGGATGAGCAAATAATCCTGCAAAGTTTCTGGTTCTTGGAGGTTCCCCTGAACTCCTGAAGCATGGGATTCATCCCGTGTTTACATATTGGCTCCTAAAGCCTATGGTCCAGCTATCTGCAAGACTACAAATGCTTCTGTGTACAGCTTGGTTCTCCAGTATGCAGTGGACATAAATGACAAGTTAATGCTTCTGGGCTAGTGGTTCAGGAAGACACCACAGCCCATAATACCATGTTCTGAATATCACCCCCAGCAGAGAAGGTTTCAGTTGGCATCTTTTTCAGTTGCTTGCCAATGCTACAAAGTTCCAGTATCTCTTCTTATTCTGGGAGATGATGTTTTGGATCTGCAACCATGGTTTGTTGCTCCCTTTCACCCGGAACTATAGGGTGAGACTGCTAGTAGATACAACCACTTTCCAGTAAGATGGTGGTCAACATGCACACTTCTTGATGTGGAGAAAGATCTATATAATCATTGTCTGCTGCATCTTCCAAAATATATGTGAAATGGGTGTGATGTACCCTTGAAAAGGAACCCAGCACTACAAACATGAGGAGGATACCATACTAGTTCATACGCTCCTCTCTATGACCTCTAATCCCAAAATCAGAAAGTGAAAGCCATCAGGAGGTAAGATTTTGCTCAGCAATTGCTCAGTACATATTGGGAACATTAGCCCCACTTACCCAATGGTCTCTACTGATGAAATACCTACTCCAGCATTTCTCTGCCCCAAATTAGTCCTGTGCCACCCTCCACTTCACCTGTCTGCACCTTCAAATGCCTCATTGCCCTGCATCTGCCATGCCTCCTCCTCATTTCCTTTTATACTTTTGCCCAAATTCTGTAACTGCTTTCACCACTTGTGCTCTTCCATCACCACCTGTAAAATAACTATTTCAATTTAGTACCTATTGTGTAAATGCATTATTTTGATATGTCACGTTCTCCAGTTTAGGTCAAGGATACAATCTTACATTTTATAGTTAAGGCATCTTCTAATTTAACGTATGTTGATAACTATAATCAAGTCAGCTTTGTCTTATAGTGACTCTGTAAATGAGATGGAGCCTCATCTTTTCTATATCCTTGCAAACTCAGGGCCATCTTTGAGTCGCTCCATTTGTATTGTGGTCTTTCTCTTTTCCTACTGGCTTAATTTTTTCCTACAGTGCTTCCTACACACCATGCCATTGCCTTTCTTTCTGCTGATAGAGTTTTCCAAGAAAGACAGGCTTTTAATAAGGAGCCAGACTAAATGTGTCAAACAGCTACTGGGCAGCAGCAGTAGTAGGCGATGACACTGGTGGAGGATCTCTCAGAGGCAACAGCAGTGGCACTATAGTTAACTCTTAGTACGGTGCAGAAGGAGACATCAGTAAACTGCTTCTGAGTATCTTTTACTGTGAAAATCCAGTGTTGAGACAAAAAGTAGAACAGAAACTCAAAAGTTGCTTTTGGTGCCATATTCAAATCCTATTATTTTCAATAACTACAGTGGCTCTTATGTTCAGAGAAATAGTAGTATAGCCTTTAATGGAACTCAGATCAGTATTTTACCTTATAGTTAAACTGCATGTGTCTAGATCTCATTGGGGAAGCAGCTCAATTACAAATATAGCAATATACATTACTCATCCAGCTATATGGATATCAATATGGATCCCAACTCAGTACCGACTTTATGATTCTGTGATTCTATCAAAAAATGGGACCATACTGAGATGATCAAATCAAGATTCTAAAATGACCTAGCTGTATTACAGAATATTATACTTCATGCTTGTAGTTACCACTTCTTCAGAGGATTCCTCTGACAAAATAGTTTTGCCTATGAATTTTACAATGGTCGTCAGAGGCATAGTCCAATGCTCAAACCACTATGCCATGCTGGTTCCTTTAATTTAAGAGTAATATAATTACTAATTTACTAATATAATTAGTCATGTGCACCAACTTCTAAATTTGGATTTTCCCAAATTCAACATCATACTAGCAAATGTGCAACAGAGTCATAGTACTTTCTTTCCTTCCTTGCCCAGCAGCCCTTTACGTCACTTGAAAACCTGCTGCAGAGGGTTTGCAGAGCAGGTTTAATGGGTGTGCAGTCAGAGAAGGAATTGCCGTCTACTTCTAAGACAACTGACAGAAACAGTTCTGTCAGCAGAATGACAGTGTTGGATTCCACACAGAATATAGAATCATTCTGTCTCAAAGAATAAAAATCAACCATATTTACTGAAAAACAATTCTTCGGCCTTTCCAACACTGAAATCCATAAATAAGAACTGGATAAGGATACTATTAAATCAGAAGGAACTGCATCCACCTAGCATCCTGTTTCCAAAAGTGGTTAAATCAGTCACCAGTTAAAGTTGCACTGCCATTTTAAAGAGTCTGCCTAGCACCTTAATTTGCAAATGTTCAGTTTTGCCTGGAAAAGTAGTGTAAACTAAAGCTTCACTAAGGCTTAGTTTTCCTGCCAAAGTCCTTTGCTGTTCTATCTCCCCCACAGCGCTAACTAATTAGTGGTCCCGAGAGAGTGCTGTTTATGTAATTATTCTTTCTGTTCTTGCAACAAACCTTGTATTCAGTACTCAATGGGAAAATCCCTCTCAACACCAAGGAGCCATTTAATTATATGATGATCAGTAACCACTGGTAGGCCTATGCCCCATGAATTTGTTTAACACATTTTAGGAATAAAGTAGTAACCATTAGTACATCCAGTGGCAATAAATATCATAAATTAATTATGCCTTTTAAGAAGGTAAGAAAAATTTAGGAAGAATTACCACTCAGAGATACGGTATAGGAGATTCAGTTCAAATTGTTCAACACATTTGATTGAGGGAAGGATATATTTATATCCTGCATTTTCTTCCAATTATTTCATGGGTCAGCACTCCACTAAAATGGAGAATGATTTAATTCATTTATTTATTTGCTTTATATCCTGCTCTTCTTCCAGTATGGGACCCAAAGCAGGTAATACAGCCTGCTAAGGTCCCAGGCCTTTCCTAGACCCCACCATTGAAAACAAAAATATTTTCAGCCCCCAAATGGAGAGCCACTGCCTCAAAAGACTCCATGTGATCTGATTCCCCATTTTAAAGATATTTTGGATACCTTTTCTGGACCTGAAATAGTCTTTGCTTCCCTTCTGGGCTTGTC